GACATTTACAGAGGAAGAAACAGAACTGTCTTTGGATGGCCGCTGTCGGGTTAAGAATGCAGTCCCGGGGCTAGAGCAATAGCACAGCAGGTAGGGCGTTTGCCTTGCACACAGCCGACCTGGGTTCGATTCCCAGCATCCCATATGGTCTCCCCCGGGCACCGCCAGGAGTGATTCCTGAGTACAAAAGCCAGGAGTGACCCCTTTGCATCACCGGGTGTGACTCCCCAACCAAAAAAAAAGAATGCAGACTCATGGGACCAGAGTGCCGGGACAGCAGGGAGGGCATTGGCCTCCCACAAGGCCAACTTGGGTTCGATGCCTGGCACCCCACCTGGTCCCCTGAGATAGCCAGGAGTGATCCCTGAGTCCAGAGCTGGGAATGAGCCCTGAGCAGCACCAGGTGTGACCCCAAAACAAAAACAAAAAAAAGGTGAGGTCACAGGTCTCCAAGCCAGCTCAGAGAGGGCGGCGAGCACCGGGCTGGGGTGCGCTGGGCAGGGGAGCTGGACCGTCCTCCTCCCTCCTCTCCCAGTGAGTGAGGGGAGGCAGGGCGGCCACCGCCAAGAAAGACTCGGATCCCAACATCTTGCAGCCTGGTAGGCCGAAGGCAGAGGGGCCAGGCTGAAGGCTCAGGCAGCAGCATCGCGCCCACCCACAGCCCTTCTCCCTCCCTCCCTGCTAGTTTGGAGGTGCTGCTAAATCCAGCTCCCTCCTTCCCCAGCCTTCTGCAGGGCACCCACGCCAGGGGCAAGAAGGCAGGCACCGGGGAGCCGCTTCTTGGGGCCAACCCTCCCCCCGACACCTGGACCCAGAGGACAGGGGAGTGTCTGGGATGATTGAAATCATTCTCCTTTAGCATAAAGGCCAAGTCCCAATGCACCTCGAAAAGAAAATCAAGGAGGTGCCCTTCCCGCCATCTCCTGCCCCCCGAAAAGCACAAGTCCCCCATCTAAGCTGCTCCCACAGCCTCATCCCAGGCAGCCCCCACAGAGCCCGTCTGCACCCCCCTGGCTCCCACCAGGGCCAAGGGGTGAGACCCCGAACTCCCCGAGCGCGCTGCCCACTTCCGAGGGCACCTGCGCCGTCCAGTTTGGAATCAGCACTCTCTCCCTGCGCCGCCGTCTCCCGACTATTCATGGAAGCCAAAGGGATAAAAAGAGAAAACATAAAAATAGTTGCTCGGCAGCCTCAGGATGGGGTGGGGGCGGGGGCGCCACTGACTTGGGATTTTCTTTCTTTCCTTTCGACAGGGAAAATGACGAGAATCGCTTCTCTTTCCCCAAGTGTCTCTGCCTGGCCAGTGCTCGGACCACAGACCCGAGAGTGCTCTGGGGACAGGGCCCAGGACCCTGGTAAGCAACCCCCAGCTCCTAAGGCAGGGAGGGTCACCAGCCACCCAAACTGCGGGGGCTCAGTAGAAGAGCATCGGGGCTCCCAAGTCAGCGTCATCCCAGGCCTCCTTCTAGGCTCATCTACAAAACAAAACTTTGGCTTCTTCCGAGGCTTCAAATGTTTCATAATTGGAGGAAAACATGCAGCAGCACCACCACAAACAGGACTGAAACGGAAAACGGGGCGGCTGGAACCGCTGCTTCCTCATTCTGGTCACTAACGCCGCCCCGCCAAGCAGGCCAGCGCCCAGCCGGGGCTGCCAAGGCGAGCAGGTCACCCCAGCCAGCGGGGCAGGGAGAGACATGGGCAGCTCTACATCTCGTTTCCGCCCCCCCCCCCACCCCGAGGAGAGCCCTTTGGAAATTATTCATACCAGAACTGCCCAGAGAAGGGGGAGGGGGGCTCTGCTCCCCAAGAAAACAGGCAGCTCTTGCTAGCCCGAGGAGACCCGGAGCTCAGGAGGACAAGAAATGTCTGGGCACAGGACGGATCTTGAGGGGCCTGTGGCCTTGATTTTCCCATCTATAAAATGGAGCCCCTTGGACCAGGGCAACATGGTTGGCATGCGGGAGGCCTGGGTTTAATCCCTCGACGCGTTCCAAGGAGAATTCTAGATAAGGAGAGAATGATGGAGCCGCGGGGTTGGGAGAAGGAAGAGAGGTAGCACTTGAGTTTCTCCTTTCCAGAAAGGGCCTCTGCTCCCGTGACCCCCCACGACCCTCACGCACCCCGGCCTGCACACAGGGGGCCAGTGACGCCACGGCTCCTTCCCAGACTCCTCCAGCTCCATTTTCATGTGTCCACTTCCCGGACAGCACTTCTGGCCAAGTCTCGAGGAGGCTGGGATGCGTCCACACCTGGCCACAGGGTCAGGACATGACCCGGCAGAGTGGCTCCACTCTGCGGATATACTTACCTGGAAAAAGTCTCCCGAGAGATACCAATAACATCACGGGCTTTCACACAATCATCGTGACGAAAAGAAAGGCAGGGAAAGGAAGCAAACCCTACAACCCCAGGCTGGAGTGAAAGCATGGGGGGGGGGGGGGGGGCAGGGGGCTTGCCTTGCTCGCGGCAGACCTGAGTTTGATCCCAGCACCCGATATGGTCCCCGAATCCGCCAGGCGTGCAGAGCCCTGAGCACAACTGGAAGCAACCCAAAAAAATGAGTAAGTAAACAAATCGATAACATCTTGTGGAGGAACAAGTGGGGGTGAAATGTCTCGTGCCCCAAGGTTAATTGCTTTGGGGGCTGTGGAAGCAGAGAAATGAGCCCCACGACCTACAGAGGCCTTTTCCAGGGCGGGAACTCACCGGGGTCCAATCCCTGACACTACATATGGAGAAGGAACAGCGGCAGCCCGCAGAGTAAAAGAACCACCCAAGCATCTATCATCCACGGCCTCTGCTCTGCTGGGAAACGGGGACCCATGGCAGCACCTATGGGGACGCTCGATGCGAAATGCCGGACACCCGGGGTCCCCCTGGACAAGCAGGTCAGCGACGTGAACTGCACAGCGCAAAGGAAAAGTGACGGCTGCAGAAGTGGGGCGCCAGCGACCCCCCTCCAGAAAGGCAGCACTGGAATGAGGATGAAGGCGCGTAAGGCAGAGGGCTGGCCCTGCCCGGACACCACCCAGTGTGTCCAAGGGAAACAGCCACTTGGGAGGGGAAAACAGCTGAGAACAGCCCTGAGAGCCTGTGCCCTGGGGGGAAAGTGTGAGTGGACCAAGCTTTGGCCTCCAGGCCCCGGCGGGCAGGAAAGGAAATGGGGAACCATCTGCTTCCTGCTGCCACCAGCAGGCACGCCCGGGAGCAGGTGACCAGTGGCCCCGACAGGAGCTCAGCCTCTCTGAGTCCCCCCTTGGAGCGGGTCTAAGGTGGGGGCGAGTCCCTAGGCCCGTGCATCCCTTCGTCCCGGGACCCCTGCACTGGGTCCATTGAGGTTCTCAGGAGGGACTCTGGGCCAGGGCGGAAAGGTCTTCCGCGGGTCAGCCGTGGACCCGAACTGCACGTCAGGGATCTGGCATCCCCGGCTCCTGGTCCCCCAGAAGCCAGGACCGTTCGGCACCCATGAGGTCCCCACTTTTCTCCAGGTGCTTGCCAGAAAGGCAACTGCCCAGTGGTTAGAGCCCAGATCTGTCTCCCCGCCCGCTAACAACCTGAGGCAAAGGCAAGCGCGAGCCCGTTGGCATCACGGCGCGAACTCTGGCATCCTCCAAGGCCACTTTCAGAAACAAGCCAGGCCCATCAAGAAACCCAGCGTGCCCCCAAGGACCCTCCTCTAATAACTGGGGGCAAACTGACAGGCCTGGGCTGCCCCGGCCACCCCAGGCAAATTACTTAATCCCTCTGGGCCCTTCCATCCAACAGTGCCAACTCCTAGCATGCCCACAGGGTAGTTTCACTTATCTACCCAAGGGGGGAGAGAAAAATCTCGGCTGCCTAAGATTCCGGGGCATTAACTGAGATAATGCCCAGACACACAGCACAGCAAGAACCCAATACACAACTGTCACCGGGGGATTCTGCTTGCACATGGAGGATGTCGGTTACTTGCGAGGGCTCACCAGGAATGGCTGCTGGGAGCAGCAACTGTTAGGAGAGCATCCTCCTTCTTCAGGCGCCTGCTGGGGGACCCGCCAGCCCCCCAGGAGCGATGAGCCCCCTTCTCTCTCTCTCGGGGAGGCCGGGGGCAGAGAGCTGGCCTACTCTGCACTCCAGGGCTGGAAGTTTCTTCCCGGAGGGCTGTGGGGACTTGCAGACCCAGGTGAGGAGGTGGGCACGGCCCGTGCCACCCAGGCCAGGCTGCAAAGGCACATCCTGCCGCGGCCCGCGGAAGGGCCGAGGAGGGGCGCAGGGGCCGGGATGCGCCCGCGCTTCTCAGCCAGGGGCCAGAGCTGGGGGGCGGGGGGACACGGCCCGGATCCCAGCACCCACCGCCCCGAGCGGGCTGGGCCCAGCATCCCGGCGCGCCCCGAGCCGGGCGGGGGTGCGGGTGAAGCGGCTCGCAACCCGCTGCGGTCCCGAGGTGAATTTAGGTCAAAAGGACCCGGAGCGTGAGGTTCCAGCGGAGAGATGGGGGGCAGGGGCACGGGCCCCGCGCGGACAGGCTCCAGGCGCCCGCTCGCCCCTGCGGGTCCGGGGTCCTGTCGCCGGGTGCCCAGCGCCCCCAGGGCCTGGGCTGACCCCTAAGAGCAGCCGGGCACGCGGGCGGGAGACTCCGGGGCCGCGCGCGCGGGGTCCCCAGCTGTCAAGCCGGGGGGTGGGCCCGGCCGCCCGCCCAGCCCGCCGGGCACTGCCCGCTGACATCCCTCGCGAAGTCCGGGCCCGCCCCTGCCGTCCGGGCGGGGCTCGGCCCAGCGGCCGCGGCCACCCCCAGGCCCCGGGCGCCCGCCGGGCGCGGGGGCAGCGGTGCCCGGTCCCCCACGTGGCGGGGCGTGGGGCAACGCACGTGGGGTCCCCGCGCCCGGGGGCCGGTCCCGGTGGCGGGGCTTTGTCCGCCCCGCGGGCCGCCGACCACCCCGGCCCGGCCAGGCTCGCGCCCCGGCGCTCGGGCCGCCGCCGCCGGCCCCGCCGCTCCCGCTCCCGCGCCCGCCGCTCACCTGGGCTCGGCGCCGCCGCCCGCGCTCCGCGCTCCGGGCTCGGCTCGGCGGGGCGCGGCCGCGCGCCTGAGTCCGCGCCAGGGCGGGCGCGCGCGGGGGCGGGGCCTCGGGGTCCCGCCTCCCGGCCACGGGGCCGCGGGCTGCGCGGGGATTGGCCGCCGCGCCGCGGGGCGGGCCGGGGAGGCGCGCGCGGGGCCCGGCGGGGCGCGCGGCTGCGGGCGCCGCAACTTGGGGCCCCGTCCCCGACCCCCGCGCCCGACGCCCGCCGCGCCTGCTCCGCGCAGCCGAACGCGGGGACTGCAGGGCGGCGTCGGAAAGTTCCCGGGCCTGCGGGACACCCCCCGTCCGCCCCGCCTGCCGGCTCCTGCAGCGGCCGCCACCCAGATCCCGGGTCACTGGGCATCTGGGGACCCGCCTCGCTGACCGTTGCTCTGGACCTGAAGTCTGAGGTCACACACACACACACACGCGCACACACGCACACGGCAAATTCCGGCTTCTCCAAAAGATGAGGCGGGGTCCGCCCACACTCCACCACCGGCCACACACACACACACACACACACACACACACACACACACGGCAGATTCCGGCTTTTCCAAAGATGAGGCAGGGTCCACCGTGTAACGCATCAGATTCTTCCCAAGTATCTCACTCTGGGCGCCCTAGCTCACTGGAGCTTTCAGGCTACAAGCCGGGTAACAAGCCTGAGTGTGTGTTGAGTGTGTATGCGTGTGCGTATGTGTGCATTTGTGCGCGTGTGTATGTGTGCGTGTATGTGCATGTGCGTGTGTGATGTAGTGTATGTATGCGTGTGTGTGTGAAACCTAAAGAGCTCTGCATCCGCCGTTTTCAGATGATCAATAAGCCCAGAACTAAACCTAAAAATTTTTCCCCAGAGAACGCTCACTGACCCTCCCAAGCCACCGAGGGAACCAAGTGGGGGCCAGAGGAAGAGCTTTCCTCCCGGCCCACTCCCTGGTTCTGCCAACAGCGGAAACTGACCGGTAGTAAGTACCTTGAGCCATGTGGGTTAGGGCTCATCGGGTTCCAGGCTGGCACAAATCCTTCCCAGCACTGCTGGGTTAGCACCGCAGGGATGGCCCTGGTGGTCCCCAGCTCCGCAGGTCCTGGACAGTACTGCATCCTTGGCTACCAGCATTGACCCACCTGCTGAACTGGTCAAGTATTGGTATCCTGTCTCCATCCCCCACCTCCTGTCCCCCCTACAAATGAGCAAACCCACATACAGGCCTTATTGTTCAGGGCATGTTTACATACATTTTATTTTATTTTATTTTTTGCTTTTTGGGTCACACCTGGCGATGCACAGGGGTTACTCCTGGTTCATGCACTCAGGCATTACTCCTGGCGCTGCTCAGGGGACCATATGGGATGCTGGGAATCGAACCCGAGTTGGCCGCGTGCAAGGTAAGCGCCCTACCAACTGTGCTATCACTCCAGCCCCGTTTACATACATTTTAAAAGGCAGTAAGTCACCATCACTGTCATTCCGTTAATCATCGATTACTTGAGCGGGCTCCAATAGCGTCTCCATTTGTCCCAGCCCTGAGATTTTAGCATCGTACAGTTTATGGTCTCTCCGAGAATACGGCACATCAGCTGGATGTCCTTGGCCATAATGGTGACATGCTTTGCGGGGAATGTGCAGAGGTTGGTGTCCTCAAAGAGCTCCACCAGGTAGGCCTCACACGCCTCCTGCAGCGCCATGACGGCTGAGCTCTGGGAGCACAGGTTGGTCTTGAAGTCCTGTGCGATCTTCCGCACCAGCCGCTGGAACGACAGCTAGCAGATCTCGTGTAGTGCCACGGTGTCGGGCTAGTAGCGGTGTGGCTTCTTCACACCACCCATGGCTGGCACGCTTTTATGGGCCACCTTGGTGGCCAGCTGCCTTCCCGCCCATTGACTTGTGCACCATCTGCTTAATACAAGTCCTCTCGTTCTTCCCAACTCAGCTGGAGACTCCTTCAGGGTTAGGGAAATGAGACCCATTTTAGCGACTGTTGTTGGCATATTTGGTACATCACGGGTAGCTTGCCAGGCTCTGCCATGCGGGCGGGATACCCTCGGTAGCTTGCCGGGCTCTCCGGGGAGAAGATGGAGGCTTTTGAGGCAATCTCTAATCAGAGATTAGAGGCAGTAAGTACAAATGATTAACTAAAAGGGATGAGTTATAGGACTAAAGTGACAATACAGCTGGGAGGGCACTTGCCTTGCGCATGTTTGACCCGGGTTCAATCCCAAGCACCCCATATGGTCCCCTGAGCCCAGCAGGAGTGATTCCTGAGCAAAGCCAGGAGTAAGCTCTGAGCACTGCCAAGGTATGCCCCCGTCCCTCCAAAAAAGATGAGTTAACGAGTTAACAAATTGAGTGCAAATTAAATTCATGTCAGTCTACCTGCCCCAGAAGGAAATAGGAGCAGAGAACAGAAAGGAGTTAACACAAGCAATGTTGCAAAGTTTTATATCTTTTAATGAATTGAAAAACCTGGCAATATAGTTCCAGTCCACTGTGAGCTGAGGCACTATCCTGCCGTCTTCTGTTTTCTCCCTCAGATCTGTATGGGAGTCCAGAAGGTTTACTTCAAGCCCCAATTTTGTTACCAGCCCTGTAGCTTTGGACAGTGACTTGTTTGCTCCCAGCTTGTCTTAAGCAGCTGTCAAGAAGAGACCCTCCCAGCACCCTGTTCCCTTGGGCGCGGGCTGTAGCCCAGCGCCTGGCACATACCCACTCAGTGGCACAACTCTGAATATACTTAGCACAGAGCTAAAAACCCCCATCAATTATGTATGTGCCTGCCTTATTACAGTGAATTAGAACAAAGCCGAGGCTATCACGGTCGCCTTTCATTGACATTCAGTCCCTCTTAGGAGTCATCCGTGCCAGGAAACCGTTTTCTTCTTGGAGATATGAAAATAGAGAACTGGCTTTGCTTTTTGAGTTTTCTCCTCCAAGAACACCAGGGGGTGGGGGGTGGGGGGGAACTATTCTAGGCAAACAGATCTTGTTGTCTTGACAACACAGATTGCCAAGAAAATAAGTAAACAAAGCATTTTAATCTTATTTTAAAGAAAACTTGAACAGTACAAGGGCGGGGCAGAAAGTAGGACTTGAAAATTATCCCACCCACTAAGACGGCATTATAAGCTCCTGCCAAGGGCTTGTCTCCCCCCTGCCAAGGGCTTGTCTCCCCCCACGGAGCTGTTCAACATTCTCCCGGGACTACGGCTGCCCAAACTCTGTGGTCTTGGCCGCACAAACAGGGGCGGCAGGATGGCAGGTTCGATCACACGTGTGCAACTGATGTGTTGAATATGTTTACCATTCAACAGGATGGTAGAAAAAGCTTGTCTACCCACCCCCAGCTCCCCACCCTCCTCCCCACAGAAAAAAAGGGAGGAAGAAAAAAAACAAAGTCCTTGTAAAGTTGCCCATAAACAAGCAGAGACAAGAATGCCTGGTTGCCCCAAATATAAGCAACAGCACCGAAGAAGCCAGCAGATTTGGTCTGAGATGTTGCTGAGAAGGGCAAGAGATAGAAAACTCAGTGTGAACGCCCCAAACTGTCAGGACATTCAAGGCTGAGCGGGTGAACATGAGGCAGGGTGGCGATGGTGGGGCTGGAGGTCAAATGTCCATCTCAGGGTGCTGAACGCTGGCCTTGGGGGCCTGGGTCAGGTCAAACCCAGGAACTCGGTTTCATCACTCAAAAACTAGCATCTAGCTGACAAGCATTAGAGAGGGAGAAGCGCCAACATCTACCGATCGCTAGGAAAAACTCAACGGTGTGTTCAACAGAGAGGAAGCGTGTTCAGCCAAACAGTAAGGTGTTTCAAAGGCTCTGGCGTCCGGCCGCCTTGGAGTTCTGCAAAGTGTGATCCTAGAATTAAGTGACTTAACAATTGTGCAACTCTGTGCTTCTGTTCCCCTCTGCCTCTGGGCAGGAAACACCAGAACTTCTGGGGCCTGAGTTCTCACCAGGCTGAGCTGGCCCTGGTGCCCTTTAGGGAAGAAGCTTTAGGTTCTCGGCCTCTGGTCTGGGCCAAATACCGCTGTGCTATCGCTCCAGCCCGGGCCAAATGCAGGCTGGCCAATAAGCTTCAGTCCTCTCCTCACCCATCCCTTCCACCTTAACCTCCTCACGATTCTTCTGCCTCTGTTAAGTCACCAGGAGTTTCACCCATTCCTTCCCCCACCAGGTGTAGCTCTTTTAGGAAAAAGGCAGCTGGACAGTTGAATGAGGGGTCACTCTGCTAGACCTGCTATATCTTGCTGCAGGAGCCAGGCTCCAGACAACCTATCTAAGTCACAGATGCCAGGGAGGGACTCAACCCTTCTGTCTAGATTGTGTTCTGCCAAGGGAAACACACAAGCCAAGAGAAGGGTCATTTTATCCTGCAGACTCCGCGGTCAAACGGGGCTCCGTGCTCAGAACGTCCCAAACCACGGTCATCGCTTGAGTGGTTCATTTCCATTTCAGAGTCTTATGTTCCCTACCTGTGGGATGGGCTGAGCAACCTTGCCCGAACCCAGGGACCTTCTTATGCTTCTGAAGCAGCGAGATTAAGATCACTCTCAGGCTGGAAGGGCTTGAATATACAGATCAGAAATGTTTTCAGGGGCTGGAGAGATAGTACAGTGGGGAGGGGGCTTGCCTTGTATGTGTCTAACCCGGGTCTAATCCCTGACACCCCCGACGGTCCCCCCAGCCTGTCCCCCCAGCCTGTCCAGGACTGAGTCCTGAGCACAGAGCCCAGAGTAAGCCCTGAGCACAGCTGGGTGTGGTTTAAATCCTCCCCCAAGAATAAACTGGGGGGCGGCCCAGTGGCAGAGTGCCTGTGTGGCATGTGATGTCCCAGGTTCAACCCACGACACCACACGGCCCAAAGAACCACCAGGTATGACAAAAAATAATCTTTTATTGTCTACATATGTAACTTTTCAAATAAGTGTAAGGACAGGTTTTTAAACATCAACATACCAATTAGCGTGTCTGTCTCTAGCCAGTCTCTTTCTCTGTGGCCAGCAAAACACCCTGATGAGTGGGAGCTGTTTTACAGCTTCAAGGAGCTCTAGAGATACATAATTTCCCATCAGAAGATTTAAATTTAACAGAAAGAGCCAACCATAGAACTGCAACATTTGGTTGCTTCCTTGTTGCTGTTTTGGACTTAAAATGGAATTTTTTTTTTTCTGTGAAAACTCAAGGATAAGGTAAGTTCATGAACAAAGCAGCAAGGGGTTTGAGCTTAATTGCAGGGCTGAAGTATGTGAATTATCCAGTGCATCTGAGTGACAGCATCTGCACACGGCTGAGCTTCACGCCAGCTTTTAATTGATATTCACCATCTGTATAATGAATTCTTTGACTTGTTATCATTTCTCTTTTCTGAGGTGGGGAGTGTTCTCGGGGGGTCCCGGGGCTACCCCAGGGATAGTGAACCAGGCCTGACTGCCCAGTGCTCTGGCGTTGTGAGCTGGGTCACGCCTGTGTGTGGCCTACAAGGTGCTCAGGCTCCAGCTGGAGGTGAGTAGAAAGGTCAGAGCCTTAACCCCGGACTCACTTTTCTGCCCAGAAAGATGGTTCTTGTAGCTGGTCCAAAAGCCATGAGATCTTCTCCATTTCCGTCTTCAGCCACGCCCAGACCCACTATGGGCTCTGGTTAAGTCCAACATAGCAGAAATCCATGGGGGAATCCCAGACCTTGGGAAAATGTGTGCTGACGCCCCAGCGTCCTCCGCTAGACCAATGGCTCTCACTCGGACAGAGGGGCTGGCCACAGCGCAGTGCACTCTCCCACTAACCACTGTGCTTACAGAGAAAACAGGATTGTCCAGGACATTTTCCACCAACCGGGCTGATGATTCAGACGGGGCTCGAGGATACGGTTCTGAGGCCTACAGGGGCCCATGTGGTGCCAGGCACTGATCTAGGTCAGAGCATGAAAGCATATGCCTTAACCCCTGTTCTGTCTTCCTAGCCCCCGAAAATATTCTTGAATACTTTAGGGCCAGAGAGATAGTAGAGTTAAGGTGCTTGCCATGCACGCAGCTGACTCCAATTCAACCTCTGGCACTGCACATGGTCCTCTGAGCACCACCAGGATTGATCCCCTGAGTACCAGTAGGTGTGGCCCTAAAACCTAAATACTAAACATGCTAATAACAGGGGGCTGGAGCGATAGCATAGCACGTAGGGTGTTTGCCTTGCATGCGGCCAACCCAGGTTCAATTCCTCCATCCCTCTCAGAGAGCCTGGCAAGCTACCGAGAGTATCTTGCCCACACGGCAGAGCCTGGCAAGCTCCCCATGGCGCATTCGATACGCCAAAAACAGTAACAACAAGTCTCACAATGGAGACATTACTGCTGCCCGCTTGAGCAAAAATCGATGAACAAAGGGAGGACAGTGCTAATAACAGGATGATTTCTGTTTGCTTGTTGTTCTAGTCCATACCCAGCAATATCGCCTGGCTCCATACTCAGGGATCACTCCTGGCGGCGCTTGGGGAACCTTATGGGACACTGGGCATCAAACCCAGGTCAACTGCATGCAAGGCAAACGCCTTACCCGCTGTACTATCGCTCCAACTCACAGGACAATTTATTAACCAAAATTTCTGTCTCCCATCTAAATACAAACCAGGCCAACTTTGCTTCGCTTCCAAGACCAAACAAGATCATAGACTAATAACAAAAAATTGGGGCTGGAGATTTGGTAGAACTCCCCCCTCAAATAAAGGTGCTTGTTATCAAAAGTGAAGGAAAACAAAATAAATGGTAGATTCTAGCAATAAAATGAGACAAAGCGCATCAAAATTCAGTTTATTGACAAGATATCAAATACAAAAGTCTCCTGGAGGAAGGGGTGTGAGAGGCGCACACCTTGGCCTGGGCCTGGTGGCCCAGGGGAGGGGATGTGTGTGCTGAGGCTAGAGGTGATTGATCAGGGGCACCCCGTGCGAAGGCAGCTCCTGATGCAGCTGCCGGAAGAGCATGGCACAGCGGTTCCTCTCCTGGGTCTTGCCCAGGGTGTGGTAGAGCCTGGCCTGGAAGTAAACGACATCTCTCATCTGCTCCTTGCAGTCCACCTTTGCAAAATAGCTCTTGGCTTCGCTGAGGTTCTCAATGGCGGCCTCCAGAGCTGAGAGAAAGTGGGGGAGATACCACCCAATTTAACTCAACAGCATGCATGGTTTTCAAAAGTTAATATCCACTCTTAGTCATTTAACATGGGCCGAATAATTTTACATTCAACAAACGGAAGATACACACACACACACACACACACACACACATAAATGAATTAACCAATCATTGGTCCTCAACCTTCGTGCCAAGCAAGTATGTAAAAGCACCTTAAACGTGAGCCCGATTTAAAAGCCTTCTGCACCAGGTGCCTAATGACTCCGGGCATGGCCTCCTACCTTCGACTTTCTTTGCTGGGTCATAGGAAGCTGCTGACGCCACCTGGCACTTGGCCACTAAGAACATGGCCCGGCCTTTGTCCAAGACAGCCCCGTCAGCCAGGATAGGCTCAATAGCCATGTGGAGAAGACTCAGGGCCTGTTCTGGGATCCCCAGGATGAGCTGGAAAACAAAGATCATGAGGCGCTGCACACATGTGTCCCACCACACCCACCTGCTCTGGCAGCATGGCCGGGGGCTCCATCTCTGGCTCCCCCTAAGCCGCCAGGTCTGGATCTCCTGTGCCTAACAGTGTAACACAGTGTGTGGCAAGTGGATCTCGGGCTCCGAGACACGAACGGGAATGGTGAGTCACACCATGGAAAGCTTGTCTTTGAAGAAGACAAATCCTGCAGACTGGTGATTTCTAAGCGCTGAGCTAACTGTGTAAGAATCCCCGGAGGCAGCAAGTGGGGGTGGATGGCGTGAGAGTCCCTCACAGGGGTCAAGTGGCGGCCCCTCTTTGAACTACAGGCACCACGTCTGGTCCCCTGAGTGTGGCCAGGTCTCTCCTGAGCAAGGAGCCAGGAACTGCCCCTGAGCACCTCTGGGTAAGGCCTGACCACCCTCCCCCACACCCACAAACAAAAAGGATCACAAAGGAAACGGGGAAGCACTTCCTTACTACACACTCAAGGATATAGTGAAGAAACAACGAAATTTCAAAGGAATATAACATAAAGGAATCCAGCTATTTATTTTTATGACGTAGGAGCACTGCTATTTATTAAAATGCAGCTACTTTGCACAAAAGAAATAGTAATGAAGAACTGAAAAACAGAAAAGATGAAAGACATGTGAAAAAAGTAACGAAAGTTTATTTCTCCGTAATTATGAGATATAAATCAACGATGCGTTAAAAGATAGAGGTTCGGAGAGATTTACATATATAGCCCAAATAAGAGAGTCCAAAGTAAGTGGGGAAAAGCTGACAGAATCCGAGAGCAGAGCAGCTCGGAGGCAAGGGCTGAGAGCTCACACCTGTCCCCCCTCGGCAAAAAACGGAACGACACTGGAACGGCACGCTGAGCCCACCTGTGCGGGCGGCACTTCCCGAGCGGACCAACCTCAGCGGATACATGGGACCGCTTCCAGGAAGACCAGAAGCCAAGTCACAAAGTCTCACTCAGCACATTTGTCTTTCCTCAGTACATTTTTGGGGCAGGGAAAGGGCACCCACGTCCGGGCACAGGGCTGACTCCTGGCTCTGCACTCAGGAGTCACTCCTGGCAGGCTCAGGGGACCATATGGGGTTCTGGGTTGAGCCCAGGTCAGCCTCGTGCAAGGCAAGTGCCCTCCCCGCTGTCCTACAGCTCCAGGCCCCCTTGGTACATTTTTATATATTGAAAGCATATAATATATCTTCCATTACCGTGTGCAACTAAGTTAGATATCAATAACAAGTAAATACTGAAAATTCACACACACAAAAAATAAACACCATATCCTAATTAATAATGGATAAGTCAAAGAGGAAATCACAAAAGAAATTGGAAAATCATTTGAGATAAAAGCCACGATGTATTGATAGCAATGAAAAGCTTCTAGATATAATGAAGGGATTTTATATTTGGAAAGATATATATTAAAAAAGAAAGCAGCTCTCTAACCGGTCAACAGAAATAAAACTTACAGGAACAAGAGTATGCCAAGAAATCAGACAAACAAGAACAAATTCTTAGAAAGACAGGACTACAATTTAGCAAAACTAACCCAAGAACAAACTCAAAATCTGAGTACACCTGTAACAAAAAATTGAACCAACAGCCACAAAAATTTCAACCAAGAAAAGTCTAAGCTTATAGGGCCGGAGAGATAGCACAGTGGGTAGGGCAGCCGACCCGGGTTCAATCCCTGGCATCCCCAAGCACTGCCAGGAGTGAAGTAATTCCTGAGTGCAGAGTCAGGAGTAACCCCTGGGTATCACGGGGTGTGCTTCCCCCCTCAAAAAAAAAAAAAAGAAGAAAAGAAAAGCCTAAGATCAGATGGCTTCACAGTTGAATTCCACTAAACGTTTAAAAATTTCAATCCCATTCTTCCATAAAATCAAAGAGTTGTGATCTCCAGAAAAATACAGGCCAACAGCCCTCATGAATAAAGAAACAATAATCCTCAATTAACACCAGCAAACAAGGCCAGCTGCGGATGAGAGGGGTCACGAACGGGCCAGGAGATGGTCTGGTTCCTGGGCCACGCACTTGGGTCAAGCACGATCCCAGCTGCTCTGCGTTCTGGAATCCCCGGGGTCGCGAGCAATTTCCCGCTGCGTCACCGCCTGGTGCGTGGGGGCACTGCACACACACCTGGATTCAATCTCAGCAAAAATGACGTGCAAGTTCTGAGGCCGGGGGCGGCAAACACGCAGAGGCACAGGAAAGAAGTGAGGAGCGGGGAGCACCGCATCTGAGCGTGCAAGTCCCACAGCCGGTGTGACAGCTACAGCCCCATCTGTCAGCCCTGTCATCTCAAGGCGACTGCGGGGAGAGGGGCGACAACTCAGAGAGACAGGGGCCTTGCACACAGCCAACCCAGGTCCAATCCCTGGCAGTGCTTATGGTCTCCCAAACCCTGCCAGGGTGTGCCATACCCCCCCCCCCACCACCGAAACAACAAACCTTAGAGACATGTTTCTAAGACTAAAGACAAATGGCCGGTGGCACGTGAAAAGATGCTCGACATCCTTTCAGGAGAGAAACGCAAATCAAAGCCACAGTGCGACCAGCTTCATGCCTCACAGCAGGAAGGCATGACTGCACAGGGAGACACAGTGCCACAAGGTCGATGGCCCAGGAGGAGCAGCCTGGTGGTTCCTCAGAGTTCAGCAGAATTAACACGCCCGAAGTCCCAGGCCCAAGTATACCCAAAGGAAAGGAAAATACATCCGCACAAGAACCTGAACATGAACACTAACAACTACTTATAATCGCCGAAGGGGAAACAACCCGATTGTCCATTAACTAATGGAAGGAAAAACAAAATGTAGTATATCATTCAATGGAATATTAACCTGCCATTAAAAGGAAGTACACAGGCCACAGAGCAGTGAACCCTGAAAACAGTGCACTGAGCCAAGAAGCCTGGCACGGAACGCCAGACACTATGTGAGCCCAGTTACGTGGACTCTCCAGAACAGGCACCTCAGCGAGGCACAGAGCGCGGCCACAGGTGCAGGGAGGCGGTGTGGGGAGGGGGTAGGAGGAGGAATTCTTGGCAGATGTCCCTTCTGAGTGGAATAAAAATATTCTGGACATAGGGGCCAAAGTAACAACATAGCAGGTAGGGTGCTTGCTTTGCACACAGGTGACTGGCCGACGCGGGTTCAATCCCTGGCACCCCATATGGTCCCTGAACACCGCCAGGAGACTGCTCAACGCAGAGCCAGGAGCAAATTCTGAGCACAGCCAGGTGCGGCCCCAAAGCAAAAACAAAGAAATTCTGGACTTAGTGTTAATGACTGTAAAACACTGTAAATTGTCTTAGAAGTCCTTAAATTGTAGACTTTTAAAATGCTTGAAATGGTGAATTTTATCTTAATTTTCAAACTCAAAATTGCGGGGTTGGGTAGCAGCAGGTCAGGCACTTGCCTTGCACACAGCAAACCCAGGTTCGATCCCTAGCATTTCACGGTCCCCTTAGCACTGCCAGGAGTGATTCCTGAATGCAGAGCCAGAAGTAACCGCTGAATATTGCCAGGGGGGGCCCAATAACTAACTAAATAAACAGAACTACTGAGGAAGCCAACAATAAAAACAGATTGCGAAGCACCTCCCCTGGAGATCTGGGCTTATTAGGTTCGAGGTAAGGTCAGGAATGTAGATTTGGGCCTAAGAGATAAGTGTAAGGCACTTGCCTTGCACGCACCAACCTGGGTTCGATCCCCAGCATCCCATTTGATCCCGAGCACCACCAGGAGTAATTCCTGAGTGCAGAGCCAGGAGGAACCCCTGAGCACAGCTGGGTATGGCCCAAAACCCAAAAATAAACACATAAGTAAATAAATAATAAAAGCTATCTCTGTGCAAAGATGTCCACATATTAAAAATATTTCTACAAATTCTAATGCAGTCAGTTAAGGGAGCATCTGCGTTAGTCAGTAAATTCTTCCTGTGAGTTTAAAATGAACTCATTTGAAATATTTTTTTCCTATGGCCAAAGCAATAATACAGTGGGTAGAACGCTTGTTTTTCACATGGCCGACCCTAGTTCTCAATTCCTGTTCCATCCCCGGCATCCCATATGGTCTTCCAAGCATCGCCAAGAGTAATTCCTATCCTCCCAGGATGGGAGAAGCATGCTGAAAGTAGACTCTAGACCAAACATGATTGTCACCCATTGCCTCTTTTGCAAACCACAACACCCAATAAGAGAGAGAGAACAAAAGGGAATGCCCTGCCACAGAGGCAGGGTGGGATGGGGGGGGGGGGTGGGGGGTGGGAGGGATACTGGGATCCGTGGTGGTGGGAAATGGGCGCTGGTGGAGGGATGGGAGTTTGATCATTGTATAATCGAAACCCAAGCACAAAAATGTGTAAGTCTGTAACTGTACCTCATGATGTCTCACTATTAAAAATTTTTAAAAATAAAAATACAAAAAAAAAAAAAAGGAGTAATTCCTGAGTGCAGAGCCAGGAGTTAAGCCCTGAGTACCAACAGCTGTGACTCAAAAACAAAACAAAACAAAAACAAGAACAACAACAAATACATATGGATGTATTTTTTCTCTCTCTCTGGACTTGAGCAATAGTACAGCAGGTAGAGCACTTGCCTTGCCCATGGCCATGCCAGGTTCAATCCCTGGCACCATATAAGGTCCCCCAAGTCCCTCCAGTGTTGCCAAAGGCCAAAACCAAAGCAAAATAAAATATATTCCTGGGTGGGGGATTTTGATCCATAACTTGCGTGTGTAAGATTCTGAGTAATGCACAGCACCTCTAGAAAAATTTATTAACAGCCTACTAAATTTTAGTCCTACTAGGTACCATGGGATACAGGAGGGAACATGAAACCCCTTCTCTCAGGGCTTTTTTTGTGGGGGGTGGGTGGGAAGAGGGCATACCCGGCGATGTTCAGAGCTTACTCCTGGCTCTGCATTCAGAAATCACTCCCGGTGGGCTCAGGGAACCGTGTGGGATGCCGGGGATCAAACCCAGGTTGGCTGCATGCAACGCAAATGCACTCCCTGCTGTGCCATCACTCCGACCCCTCTCAGGAACTTCATGGTGTCCAGGGGGTAATAAAAAGATAAAATTCCAGAGCGATAGCACAGCGGGTAGGGCGTTCGCCTTACAAGCGGCCAACATGGCCGACCCGAGTTCGATTCCTCCGCCCCTCTCGGAGAGCCCGGCAAGCTACCGAGAGTATTCGATATGCCAGACACAGTAACAACAAAGTCTCCAATGGAGACGTTACTGGGCCCGCTCGAGCAAATCGACGATCAACGGGAGGGCCTTTACCTTTACCTTTACCTTTACCGTTTCATATTCAAAATCTTTCCATTAATACATGTTTGTTAGATCCAGCTGAGCTGGGGGCCATCAGGATTATGCTAATGCCAGTGTCCTCTGGAAGAGGCGAGAGCCCCGCGCTGGGGCCGCGGGGGTGTTGGCTGCTCGCGGGGCGCACTGCAAGACTCAGTACTAGCAGGTGAAAACTGACCGCGACTGACACGCCAGTTCTTTCATTTGTTGTCTGGGGGCCACACTCCTAGTTCTGCACTCAGGGGTCACACGTGGCAGGGTTCAGGGGACCATGTGGGATGCCGGGGTTGGCTGCGTGCAAGGCAAGCGTGCACGCTACCCACTGTACTACTGTTTCAGCCCCGCCAACGCACCAGCTCTGTGCACAAACACACACTGTGCAGACAGAGCTGGGCTTACCTGGGCAAACGCCAAGTTGAGCACCGTCTCGGAGGCCAAGTACTGCAAGCGGTACTCCTTGGAGAGGGCCAACGCCTGCAGGAGCACAGGCAGCGCCATGGTAGGGGACGAGGACCTCCAGTACAGCTCTGCCATGGACAGCAGGACACTGCAGGAAGAGGGGGACACCGGGTGAGGCACCTCGGCACAAACCCCGCCAGCGGACGCACGGGCACGTTGCTTACCTGATCACCATTTCCGTGTTCCTGGTTTTCTCGCAGTGGACCAGCAGGCTCTGTAAGAGCCGGTGTGCCTCGGACATTCGGTTCTGAGCTTGCAGCGTGACTGTTTTCCTGACATGGAAACCAGACCGGCAGTGAGTGTTGAGACTGATTGAGTTCTGCCGCAGCTTCAGACCTAGCCACAGTGTCTAGGTTCTCTCAGACTGAAAGGCCCCTCAGGGAGGAACTGTGCCTGATGCAAACTTTGTTAACAGAAAGATGTGTGTGACCATATAGGTCACATATATTCCAACACACATGCAGCAAGAGGCCTGGGGATGGACGGGCGGATAGGACATGAGCAGAGCGCTTGCCCTGCACCTGGCTGGCTTGGGTTCGATCCCCAGCACCTCATGTGGTCCCGTGAGCATGCCAGGAATGAGTGCTGAGGGCAGAGTCAGGATAAGCCCCGAGCACTGCTGGCCTTAGTGATATCAGATACCTTGGGGTAATACTTATTTTCTCCGTTTTGCTTACTTGTATTTTCTAATTTTCTGTAATAAATAATAATAATAAATAATAATAAAATTACAATAATAAACAACTCATTCAGGGACAAGTAAGAATAAAGCCACTTGAGAATGATTTTATTCAGGGCCAGAACCATCCGAGTTTCTGACCTGTATACGCCGTCGGTGCTATTCAGAGCCGTAATTCCTGCAACGAGTGAGTCGGCCAAGTGGTATTTGCCATCATTCATGGCTCTGTCAAACTGTATCTTCTGATCACACAGCATCCAGAGCTGGCAAGGTGACAAGGAGCCATCAGGGACGATGGGGAATGCTCACCTCATTATTCACAGGCACAAAAAAGTATTTTGGCTTATGTAGCAAACTGCACATTTAGATGAATTGTTTCTATTTCAGACCCCCACAGTGCTCAGGGGCCCACACGGTGCCAGGCTCGGCCATGAGCGCTCTCTGCAGCTCCCAGGTGTTCCTGTGAACTGGGAACTCCACCGTGTCATTCACAGGCATGTGGGCCTTTCAAAACCAGCAAACAGCTCTAAGGGCTGAGCGCGTGCTTTGCATATGGAATCCCCGTTGGGGACCCCTGAGCACAGAGCTGGGAGTAATTTCTAAGTACCACCAGGTGTGGCCCCAGAGCCAAAACCAAACAAACAAAACACAATAAGCAACTTGAACGGCGACCCAGACTGATGGCTGCAGCCCCGCCAGCCCCCCGACTCCCTCCCAGAGGCAGAGGCAGTGCCGCCAGGCATCCCAGCGGGTCACTGCCCTGCCGAGGAGGCCAGGAATAGCCCCAGGAGCACCAGCGACAGGCTCCCTGACCTCAGCTCCCTGACCACGGACAGCAAGTGCTAGCTGGGGAAGGGAAGGGACAGCAAGCAGGCCCTGGGTTCAGCGACCTCGGCCCACCTGCGACGTTGTGGGTGCAACAAAAGCCTGGACGGTGGGGAGGGCACTTGCCTTGCAGGCAGGTGACCCCCGAGTGCAGAGCCAGGAGTAAGGCCTGAACACTGCTAGGTGTGACCAGGGACCCCCATTTCGCACCCCTCACCCGAAAATACCAAAGAGAGCAGAGGGGCACAACTTTTTCCCCAAAGGTTACTCAATTCTGGCAGAAAAAGATGAGAGTTGCCAAGGAAAAGACAGAACGGCACAAGTGACATTTCACCCGAAACGTCACCACAGACAGGGATGCTTGTCCTTAGTCCCAGAGCCAGAGGGACAAGACCAAGGAGCTGATTAAAGCTGAAGACAAGGAAACAAAGGCGCCGACTCTCTCCCCCCGGCATTTCCCAACCTCCCGGCATAGACGTCACAGAACAGGCCTGGGCACGGTGCACCGAGGGGCCTGTCGAGTGTCCGGCCCTGACTGTGGCAGAGGGAAAAGTCTCTCGGGGACTGGGGCAGACCGCGAGAGTTACCTGGGCATGCTGGCTGTTGGGTGGGAATCGCCCCTTTAAGTGCTTGAGGACCTCTGAAGCGGCAGCGAAACAGCCCTAGACAGAGAGAACCCGCGGGATTAGCACCCAGTGGGCCAGGCCTGCGCACCAGACAAGGGGTGCGGGACTCCCCGTTCCCCCTGCGGCACCCAGAAGACAACGAGGCCAAGACCACCAACATCAAAGGCCAGTTCTCAAGGTCTGAGCGAGTTTCCCCAGTATCTGTCCCAGGAAAATGCTTTTCTTTTCTTTTCTTTTTCTTTTTTTGCTTTTTGGGTCACACCCGGCAATGCACAGGGGTTACTCCTGGCTCTGCACTCAGGAATTACCCCTGGCGGTGCTCGGGGGACCATATGGGATGCTGGGAATCGAACCCGGGTCGGCCGCGTGCAAGGCAAACGCCCTACTCGCTGTGCTATCTTTCCGGCCCCCAGGAAAGTACTTTTGAGCCAAGGAGAAGGACAAGAGTGGCTGGAAGCACTGCCCTGGGGACTCCCTGGGGCACAGGTCACGGCCTTTCTCGGAGGGCGTCCATATTGGTGGCAGCTCCTGGGTCCGCCGGCTACCTGCTCCGCATGCAGTTCGGCGAGGTGGCAGAGCGCCACGGCGAAGGACTCGGTGTTGTTCTGCTGCACGCCTGCGCTCACCGACTCCAGGCTGTTCATGCTCAGCAGCATCTGGGCTTGCTGCAGGGCCATGGTGCTGCAGGGGACAGGGCAGCAGTGCTCAGGAACACGCCCAGTCGCCCTCAGCCAACCCGCACAATGGAGGCAGCCCACAACTGGCAGCTGCCCGCCAAGGCCAGTGCCCCGGCCCACCTAGGCACAGGGAGGCAGCACAGATGGCGTGAGCAGGCGCGAGCCTATGAACACCTCCCGGGCCACCCTGGCTGCCTTCAGCCCTGTCCCCGCGCCCCGAGTCCCGGAAGCAGTGGGCAGTGTCTGCGGCTGGCGTGGCCCACATGGCGCCAAGAAATCCTCCCAAGCACAAAACCAATCCTGGAGAATCAAGATTTGCCTTCGTGCCTAAATGCCAACCAGGGTGCCTGGGGCAAGGGGCAGGGGGCTTCATGTTAAAAATCGGGTCCAGAGGTCGCCCCCAAGCAGAGGCCAAACAAAGCAACGCCAAGGCGGCACCAGCCAGGACACTCCCTGGGTAAAAGGGAAACAAGCTTCTAAACAGGACAGCTCAGGGCTTGGGGACACTGTCCCCTCCCCCAGGCCCGCTGAGGACAGGAAGAGGGGCTCCACCTCAGAGGCACTTGGTGCTGTCACCTGTCAATCCCCCTGTGCCCTTGGGCATATCAGACCCGCAAACCTGGGAATCCGCACCAGCAGGGACCTCATGGGGCAGCTGTGAGACGTGGACAGTCACGGGAAAAATCTTGGCAAGCCCACTCAAGACGGAATTTTTGTTTGTTTCGGTGCACACCCCACAGGTCTCAGGGCTCACTCGAGGCCCTGCGCTTAGGGATCAATCTGGAGGGGCTCAGGAGACCCTGGGAGAGGCCAGGGATCAAACCCGGGTCAGTTGCGGGCAAGGTAAACATGCTGCCTGCAGTGCTGTCGACCCAGTCCCAAAATATAAAATGTTTTTTTGTTGTTTTTTTTGGAGGGGGGTCACACCCGGCAATGCACAGGGATTACTCCTGGCTTTGCACTTAGGAATTACTCCTGGCAGTGCTCAGGGGATCATATGGGAAGCTGGGAATTGAACCCGGGTCAGTCGTGTGCAAGGCAAATGGCCTACCTGCTGTACTATTGCTCCAGCCCCCCATAAAATGTTTTTAAACTCTAAAGCATCCTCTTTAATTCCCCCACACACAAAATTCCATCAGAGGGAAAGATCGCCTCCCTCCGCGCCTTCATGAGACCAGCTGGCGGCCGTGCCCCTCTCCACGGGGCCACCCCCCACGGCCTGGCAGTGGGCCGCAGACCCACCTGCGCCCGTAGAGCCTCCAGATGGCCGTTTTCTGAGCGATGCTGATGTCAATGAGCTCCGAGAGGCTGTGCTTCCAGTGCAGGAGATCCGAGTCCTTGAGGGCATCCATGAGCTTGTGCGCCGTCTTCCCAGCAAATGCCCTCTGCTGCACCAGCGACTGGATCCCCAGGGAGGCCAGGTACTGAAGGACAGAGCAGGGCTGTTCTGGGGACAGCTCAACCATGGCCGTTTCAAGCACAGTCCCGGCAGCCTGCTCTGGCCCGGCCCCCACACGCTGCCTTCCTGAAAACTCAGGAAGGAAGAAAACGAAATGGAGCACAGAGGGACGCTGGAGTCCCGCTGAACGAGGCCTGGACCAGACCCTGGTTCTGCCTCGTACCGTGTGGCTGGAGGTGAAGCCTCAGCCGCCTCATGCGTGAGATGGGTAGCAAGCCCGCCAGAAAACATTACTGTAATGAATGTTTGGCCAGGTATGCCCCCCCAAACCAAGAGCACCCAAAGCACACATATGTTGCATAAAGAATCAGAGAGTGAGTCATCTACATTTCGTCTGTGAGCCACACTCCGCTCTGCTGTTCCACCTCTCCAGCTAAGTGCAGGAGCCAGGTCCGGCGTCAGGGGCTCGCGGAGGGGGCAGAGTCCGTCTGCCCGCTTACAGAACTGCCCAAGGCCCGAGAATCTGTGAACCTTGCCTTGGTATAAAAAGCCTTTTCTTAAGCTTGAGTGAGTACGTGGAAGTTGGCATGGATCAATAAAGCACACGAAGGCCTTATAGGGGTAACGGCCCTCTCGTGGAGAGCACTGAGGAGGAAGGGGTGGGAGGATTCCTGGGGAATAAGTCAGCCCTGCGGAACTCTGAGGAGTAACACCACACACTTATTTAAACCGTCTCCTCCCAGAGGTCAGCCTTACCGGTAACCCGAAGTGCACTGCTTTCTTCACGGAATGTTCGAGCAAGACATAGCTGTCAGATCTCTTCTGCCCCAGCACATACAGCCAGCTCTGGCAACAGAAATCACCAAAGTCTATCAGAACCATGACAATGGCTGTGTTCGACCGAGGAATCAAGGCGGAAGGAACAAAACAAATCTTCTAACAGGTTTTCACAGAACTTTGTCCTACACACGGCTCCTTCCTGGCTGGGGAGTTACTTTCTCTTCTACTTTCCAATAAACTTTTCTATCTTCAAAAATAAATCAATTGGCCGACCCGGGTTCGATTCCCAGGATCCCATAAGGTTCCCTGAGCACCGCCAGGAGTGATTCCTGAGTGCAGAGCCAGGAGTAACCCCTGTGCTACGCTGGGTGTGACCCAAAAAGTTAAAAAAAAAAATCAATCAATCAATTCTCTAAAATATGATGTAGTCCCAACCTAAATAGAACCGATGCGACAAGTGGCAAACCTTCAGACTGAGATAAACAGCCCTCGGTCTTCTGCTCTGGCGGCAGAGTCTGGCGGGGGCAGGAGCCCAGGGCTGCCCCAGAAGGCCAGGTTCTCAGAAAAGGGCCGTGCCCAGGGTTCTGCTGACACCCAGTGACCATGTCTTTCCAGGGACGAGAAGCCGTGTAGACCCTTCATTGATGCCCGGGTTTACCAGGTCAGGCTTAACATTTTAGCCAAGAAATCTTCCCCAATGCAAAGTGGAGGTCAAGAATCAAGAGAAAGAACTGAGTCTGGGTTGTCCTTCCTGGAGCCCCATGGCCAACTAGCTTCTCCTCCCTGCTAAGGACCGCCACCCACCAGGTACCCGACCCACGGCGCAGCTCACCAAGCAGTGCTGCAGACACACGTGGTCGTTGGACTCCTGGGCAATCCTGATGGCCTCCTGCAGGGCCAGCTCTGCCTGCTGACTGACCACAGACCAAACGTCAACATCTCACAAGAAGATGACATACACACACAGCACCTGACAGGAAGTCAGATCCCAGACGGGCCAGGCAGCAGTGTCACCTGGGACTGTCCCTCAGAGATTTGCCCTCTGCCAGACTCAGGACAGCGGGGACAGAGCTCACGGCTCTCCATAAAAAGGGGCACCTGGAGCGACTAGTCTCGTCTCTGAGGAGCTGTGAGCAGGGAACAGGCGGCCTTCACAGCAAAGCCTTCTCTGCCATGTGCAATTTTTCACACTGTGGATGGCACTGGATGTTTTTATAATCTTTTTCTAGGCTAGTTCTGTGAAGCAATTTAGAGATTTCCACTTCTTTTTTTTTTTCTTTTTGGGGTCACACCCGGCGATGCACAGGGAATACTCCTGGCGGTGCTTAGGGAGCCATATGGGATGCTGGGAATTGAACCCGGGTCAGCCGAGTGCAAGGCAAATGCCCTATCCACTGTACTATAGCTCCAGCCCCAAGATTTCCACTTCTGAGTGTTTTTCTGCTCACGTGTTCTCCTCCAAACGGATGGATCCCTCAACCTCTCCACCCCTGTGGAAACGAAGCAAAATCTGGGCCCCTGAGCCTTCACTTCCGAGTGTATCTACAGAGATGCCACTTGTACCCTGGCCAGCGGGACTGAGTTAAACAGTAGCCCCGTCTACTAGCTTCATCTCTGTTCATTTTCTCTCTTCAGCCTGTTTATAAACCTAGAGAGGATTTGGGGCAAAAGATCTACAAATGGGGCCTGGGACACAGCATAGAAGGCCGGAACACTTGCTTCACACGCAGAAGACCCTTGCTGGCCCCTGAGCACTGTTCAGGGAGTAGCCCCTGAGCACTGCTGGTGTGGCCAAAAACAAACTTCTCTTTTTTGGGTTTTTTTTTTTTGGTGCCACACCAAGTGATACTCAGGGATTATTCCAGGCTCTGCACTCAGGAATCACTCCTGGCCGCTCAGGGGACCATACAGGGTGCCAGGGATCGAACCCAGGTCTGCTGTGTACAAGGCAAATGCCCTCCAGGCTGTACTATTACTCTGACCCATAAACAAATTTCTAGGTAGCTGAGGATATCAAAATAGAACCCAATTTTCTTTGAGTATTACTTATTTGGGGGAAATCTTACATAAGGAACTTTCTTTCAACAGGAATCTTCCAAAATTACATTTAATTGGAAAGGGCTGATTTGTCCCTCCATAATTACTTGCTTAAAGAAATCAGGTACATTTAACTATTTACATATCTTTCATATCTCATTCCTTTTATACTGAGGGCATCAGAACATAAGCTACCGGAGGACAAGACGTACTCTCCACACATAGGCCCTCAATAAACACCAGCTGACTGAATTTTATGAAGACCCGATGACAATGAACATGACACTTGAAGTGCTGGAGTGATAGTACAGCTGGCAGGGACTTGGTGCAAGGCCCTTGAGCTCTGCTGGATGTGACCCAACCGGTCCCTCTACAAAAAAAAAAAGTCCAGTTTCCTTTGCTATCGCTCCAGCCCTAAACTTTTTTAAATACCCAAAATAACTTTTATGGGCAGAGACAGAACAGTAGTCAGGGCACTTTCCTGGGACATAGCTGACACGGGTTCAATCCCTAAATTCCACACGGTCCCCCAAGTAATGCACAAAGCTAGGAGTAATCCGGACACAGCCAGGTGTGGAAAGAAAAATAAAGCTTTTGTATTCACTTTATTACATTAAAAAGAAAATCCCTTCGGGAATCTCTAGCCTATTGACCTAAATAATTTCTTTGTAATCTGTTATTCTTAGAAGTGATGAAAGGGCCCCAAAAGAGGCTAGTAATGTGCAGCTGTGCCGCTAGGGGGTGGGCTCGCCAGGCGGACCGTTGCCAGTCCTGGCACCAAGCGCCCTCAGGAAGCAAGTTGGGGGCACTCTGACTCCTCTCTTCTCCCACTCTCTCACTCTCTCCTTCTCTCCTTCCCTCCTTCCCTCCCTCTCTCCCTCCCTCCCTCCCTCCCTCTCTTCAAGCAGCTGCAGAAGTGCATCTCAGTGAGCACTGGCGACTGCAGGATGAGCCCCAGGAGCTCACTAGTGGCCGAAGCGGCAGTGCAGGGCGGCCAGGTTGAGTGCGGCGTATCGCAGGCTGCGCCCGTAGCCTTCCTCCCCGTTACTTTTGCTCTCAGCTCCGGTGAGAATCAGGCGGTCGAAATAATGCAGCAGGCTGTGCGTCGAGCTGAAAACATCCTGGACCCGGAGGTTGTTCAAGTAGCTGAGGTAATGCTAAAAAGAGACGCGAGCAACACGTCCTCAACGGCCCTTCCTTCTGGAGCAGCTAATTCGGAGTCTGCGCGGGCGCCACCCCGTCTATGCCTCGGCCCTCGAAGCAGGCAGCTTTGGTTTCCACCCACTCTTGGCCCCACGGCACACAAAACACAAGCCCAACAGAATTTGGTTTTGGATCCCCGGTACCGAAGAGAGACGTTTGGGGTGCTTTCTCCAGTCTCCCTCCCTCCCTTTCTTCCTTTGTTTTGGGGCCACACCTGGTGGTGCTCCCAGCTCTGTGCTCAGGGATCACTGCTGGCAGGACTCAGGGACGCATATGTGTGTCAGGAGTCAAACCTGGATCACGTGCCCTACCTGCTGTACTATCTCTGGCACCGATTTCTCCCACGGAGAGGGAGAATCCAACGAAAACCCAGACTTCCACTAATACTGCACCAGAGTTCTATCCCACAATGCCACTGTTTAAGGATGGGCTGGAGAGAGTCCAGGGGCAGGGCGCTTGCCTTGAATGCTCCCGACTCGGGTCTGATCCCCGGCACCCCACAGGGTCCCCAAAGCATGCCAGGAGTGACTCCTGAGTGCAGGGCTAGGAGTAGCACCACCAGGTATGACCCGAAAAACAAAAACAAAAACAAAATACCCAATCAGGGATGAGACAGAGAGAAAACACATGCCCCCTAGTTCGGTCTCTCTCTCTCTCTCTCTCTCTCTCTCTCTCTCTCTCACACACACACACACACACACACACACACACACAAACACACACACTCATAATATAAAACTAAGCCTACTGCATGCTGGTTAAGTCCACTCCAGGGCCAGATCACTGCATTGCAGGCTGTGCACAGGCTCTGCATGCAGATCACATGGGTTCCGTCACCAAGTACCACCAGGAGTCACCCCCGAGCACAGAGCTGGGAACAGCCTGAAGCACCACCCAGTGTGGACCAAAACAACATCAGCAGGGGCCAGAGAGCTCCGAAGCGGGCCAGAGCGCACCTTGCATGCGCGGAGCCTAACAGGAGCACGGACTTTGCACCTCAAAGCTCAATGCCAGTGCTGATGGGTCCCCAAGCTGATGGGTCTCCTTCTCTCCTTCTGGCCTTCCCTCCCTCCCTCCCTCCAGGAGTGACCCCCACGGACCTAGTGCTGTAGTCGCCCTGCGCACTGTTGTGTATGGCCCAAAAGCAAAGCAAAAGTAAGTCCCTTCTACCAACTGTTGTCCAAGGTTCACAAGAGCAGAGATGGTGAATGAGAGAACATCAGTGGATATGGACAGTCCTACTGGCCGCGGAGACAATGGACAACAGGCTGAGGAGCTGACTTGTCAACACGTGATTTCTTCCAGAGAACCTGGCCCAGTGGAGCCCACCGGACTTGCACCACTCAATACTGCCTCCAGGAGCCGGATGCTTTGGGCCCCAACTCTGGGGACAGACTCACCGCTTCGGCAAAATCGGGATTGAATTTCAGCAAGTTGTTCAGTTCTTTCTGCAGAGAAGCTGGCGTGAGGGCTTTAGTCTCATCATTCTTTAACAACGACGCCTGGAAGGTGAAAGTGACAACTCAGAACAAGGGGTGGCCAACGGATTCAGACACCTGGTGAGTGTGGCACGGCCTCCCCAGCTGCCCGGCCCAAGCTGTGTCATCCAGACCCAGTGTGACGTTAGCAGAAAACTAAGGCCAGGCCAGAGAGAAAACAAAGGGGTTAAGACACTCGCCTTGTGCACAGTCTGGTCCAATTCCCCACCATGAGTGGTCCCCTGAGCCCTGCCAGCAGCAGTCCCTGGTCACAGAGCTCGGAGTAAGCCCTGAGCATGAGCCAAAACAAGATTTTTTTTACTTGGAAAAAAAAAGCCAAAATAAAAACCTACAGCAGTACGTGCATCATCTTTTTATCATCTTTTTTTTTTGGAGTGAAGAGAGGCACACCTGGCAATACTCAAGGGTTGCTTCTAGCTCTGCACTCAGAAATTACTCGTGGCAGTTCTTGGGAGACCAGGTGGTGGTCCCCCAAGGGATCAAACAAGAGTTGGCCACATGCAAGGCAATTACTTTTTCATATAAATTAGAATAAGTCAAAATTTTCTTATTCTTTTCTTTTTGGTGGGAGGGCGATGCTCAGGATGACTCCCGGCTCTGCCCACAGGTATCACTCCTCACAGGGCTTGGGATCCCATATGGGAAGCCACAGATGAATCCAGATTGGCTGCGTGCACTATTTCTTATCAGGTGTACCATTTCTCTGGCCCCCGTGATTTTCTTTTTCAAGGGGTTACCCTGGCAGGGCTGAGAGGGCCCGAGGCTGACCAACATGGGTATGTGGGCAGCGCGTGCTCAGGACTGACAGAGCCGGCACTCCCTGGGGTATACCCAGTGGTGCTGGGGTGCGTGTGTGAGGAGTCCCAGCCACCAGCCTTAGGCCCGTGCACGCACTAAGCACGCGCTCTGCCACTTGGAGCTATTTCCCCTGTCCCAATATTTTATTTAACTCGAGGTAGAGTCTGGGCCATAACCAGCAGTGTTCAGGGTTTACTCCTGCCTGCTCCGGGGTCACTCCTAGCAGTGCTCAGGAGACCATATGTGGGGCTGTGGACTTAACTAGGGTTTGCCTGTGTGCAAAACAAGCACCTTAAATGCTGTACGATTTCTCCAGCCCAATATTTTATATTTTTAACAAAATTGGAGAGGCTGGAGCAAGAGGACATAGGTGACAGCACTTGCCTTGCACACGGTTGACCCAGTTTGACCCCCCGGCACCATATGGTCCCCCTGAGCCCACCAGGAGTGGATCCTGAACACAGAGCCAGGAAAAAGTCCTGAACACAACGGGGTATGGCCCCCAAACAAAAAATCCAAACCAAAGCCAATTAGAATACGATTTATATTTACTTTATGTTCTTTTCTCTTTTTTTGAGGGAGGAGGGTTAGGTCACACCCAGTGATACTCAGGGGTTCCTCCTGGCTCTGCACTCAGGAACTACTCCTGGCGGGGACCGAACCCAGGTTGGCAGTGTGCAAGGCAAATGCCCCACCTCCTGTCAGGTCCAGCTCCCGACTTTCTGATCTTTTTATTGAATAATATAGACTCTGTGTCATCAACTGGTCTTTGAAAGTATTTTCAGAGCTTTGTCACATTTACTACAAATACTCTGCCCATTTTTTGCTTGCCTTTTAATTTTGATAAAATGTGTTCCAACAAGCAGTTTTCATTTTTATGCTGAAAAATCAAATCACCGTCTGAGTGTTTTCTCTCAAAGCTTTTATGTTTAGAAAGTCTTTCCTCACTCAGAGATCAGTTAAAAGTTAATACAGGGTTCTCTCTAGTCTAATTACAGCTTTAAAGACTTCCATTTAACCCTTTAATTCAGCCTAATGTACTGAGGTGGGAGGACCCAATTTTCCTCTCAAGGCTAAGGATCGTCTAGACAGGTTTTTCTAGCCTGGTTGAAATTCTCTTGCAGGGATGAGTTAATCACTTTTCTCCAGATCTAATCATTATAACTTCCTGAAGAAAGAAAGTTAATAACAAAATGGGCCAGGAAGCCAGAGCGAAAACAAATCCTAATTCTGTGCATACAAAAAAAAAAAAAAAAAAAAACATGGAAGAGGAGCCAGAGCGATAGAACAGTGGGCAGGGCACTTGCCTGGCATGCAGCAGACCCGGGCTTCATCCCCACACCCTACATGGTCCCCTAAACTCGCCAGGAGCGACCCCTGAGCAACAGCCAGGAGTGAGCCCTGAGCAGTGCCAGGTGTACCAAGAAACCAAAAAGAAAAAGAAAAGAAAAGAAAACACCTAACCGGGAAGGGCCACCAGCACCCTGTGCACTGAGGGGCGGAGAGAATGGGGGTCAGAGAGGGGAGTGAGACTCCCGGTGCACTCTGAGGGGAAATGGGGGCGCAGAGAGGGAGGGGCCAGGCCCCCAGAGCACTTACTGAAGTAACAGGCAGAAACATGACGTTCAGAGAAAAGAACGAACATACCTGTTGTGAAAGGAAAAACTCGGCTTGTTTCTGGGAGAGAGGCCCACTGCAAGACACTTCCTCTTCTCTAGAAAATAAAAAAGAGAAACAGTCAAGAATCAATTGCACAATAATGAAAATGCTCTAGAAAGTCCTATGGCTCCTTCCACATTAGAGTTCTAAATCTCTGTATTTGGGGGGCGCTACCCAGTGACACTCAGGGACCACAGACACCAGAGCCGGCCACACCAAGATCTCTCCAAGCCTGCCCTAATCCCCTCTCCCCTCTCTCCCTCTCTCCAAGCCTGCCCTAATCCCACCTTCCTGGTGGTAGCCATGGGGGGGTGGGGGGGGGCGCAGGTCACGTGCTCGGTCACACGGCGCACCGGACATCAAGCCATCAAACAGGTTCTCTAAGAGGACTCATGCTTGAGCACTGTACACTCGATCCTGACTCATGACTCAGACATCAGAGATCCAGCGTTGGCAAACTTTACCCAGGTAAAACTCAGTAGGCCTCTAAGACCCAAGTGCTCCCTGGGAGGCCCTCTGGAGGCGCTTGGTTTCACTCAGACAAACGTCTCCCAAGATGCTGCAGGATCCAGAGTGGCCAGGATCGGGCCAGCCCGGCCCACCCCACATCCCTGAGCCAACTGTGCCCGAGGGAAACTCGCAGGCCAAGTTCTCTGGTGGAAAATAATTTCAGTGCTTCCAGTAAGGAGTCTTCTCTCTCCCCATACCTCTTAAACAAAGGAAGCCCAAGCCTTAAAGTAAACAGGGCTGAACCCTGATGGCTGGAGAACTGGAGTAGACACACCAGCAGGCCCCGCCCTCTACAGCCTGACCAAATGCTGCGCTCACTCCAACCTCTCCAGAGTCAGAGGGAGGTCGGTGCTGTATAATCAAACAGCAGCAACAGTTTAAAAAACACAAAAAAAAAGTGAAAAGAAAAAGTGAGGGGCTGGAGCAATAGCACAGCGCGGAGGGCATTTGCCTTGCACATGGCCGACCCGGGTTCAATTCCCAGCATCCCATGTGGTCCCCTGAGCACCGCCAGGAGTAATTCCTGAGTACAAAGACAGGAGTAGCTCTGAGCATCTCTGGGTGTGACCCAAAAATCCAAAAAAGAAAAAGAAATGTGGACATGAAGGGCAATACAGGGTTATAACAAAGAGGTCCAGTGGCCCAGGCCCCAGGCCACAGAAGCAGCCATTAACAGGCGTGGGAGAAGCAGGTGAGAGTCCCACGGTGCCGGCCACCTCCTGGACATGCTGTCCTGCTCTCAGGGCCCACAGGTACATGGAAGAGACAATAAAGGGCCTTGTTGGGGGGACAGAGCGACAGTACAGCGGGCAGGGAACTTGACCTGCAGACAGCCAACTCAGGGACCCCGGCATCTCATACGGTCCCCCGAGTCCTGCCGGGAATGATCCCTGAGTCAGGAGTCAGCCCTGAGCACCACTAGAGTGATCCAACAAACAGCAAAAACAAGCCCTGGCAGGGCAGGTGGTACTGGGTAGGTGGCTAAGAGGATCCCGGACACTGCCCGGTCCTCACGCATGACCAGAAGTGACCCTTAAGCATCACCAGGAGGGACTTCTATACAAAACAAAAACAGGGGGTTGGAGCAATAGTACAGTGGGTAGGGCGCCTGACTTGCATGCACCTGACCTGGGTTTGATCCCTGGCATCCCCTGAGCACCACCAGGAGTAACCCTTAAACACCACCGCCATGGAGGGAGGGAGGGAGGGGAAGAGAGACTCTGCCCTCCGGAATTACTCCTGGATGCACCCATATGGCAAGCACCTTATCCACTGTACACCCTCCAGCCCCCAGATTTTTAAAATAATCAAGAGGGGCCAGAGAGCTAGCTCAATGGCTGAGGACAAACTCTGTCTGCCAGAAGCCTGGGACTGATGCCAGCATGTGAGCCCTGAGCGTCACGGGAGTGACACCCCCACACACGCTCCGGAAGAGCTGGGAGTAGCCCCCGGGCATCACGAGGTACGGCCCTAAGCCCAAGACCAAGGAAGAGAAATAAAAAGCTGGGAAGCGCGGCCGCGAAGCAGACAAGCCTCCCTCAGAGGAGGGTGCAGGAAGGGCCCTGGGGAGAGGCCGACCTGACGGACACGTCCAGCTCCTCCTTCTCCATCTTCCTCTCCCCCTCTCTGCCCGCCAGTTCCATCTCAGCCTCTTCCGCGCTCTTTTTCTCTCCGCTCTGGAAGTAGCGCTGCAGGGCGGTGTAGAGCTTGAACACCTGACTGAAAGACAGCTTGCTGTAGGCCAAGATCATGTGACGCAGGAACAAGCCTGGGGAAAGAAGACAGTGAACGCCGGGAGCGAAACCCAGGCCCCAGGAGCCGGACTGTCCCGTGCAGCGCTTCCTTCAGAAGGATCAGACTCCGCAGCCACTGTTCCCTGCGCCTAGAACATTCTCTCCCAACCCTTACAAAGTGGTTTCTTCTTCCTGAGCGCTCAGCAATCCCACTTGCCTACCACCGCCTCTGTCCTTGCATTTTCTTTCGTGCCGGCTGTCACATCCATTAGAAAGTCCCTGATTTACCTTTGCCATAACGGCTTCCCCCAGCCCCTCACCACCAGAAGGTGCTCTCTCCTAGGAGGACGGTCGTGTCTACCTTATAAATCCAGAAGATTGACAAGAACCCAATGCTGAGTAACATACAAATATCAAAGAGTGGGGGCTGGAGCAACAGCACAGCGGGAGGGCATTTGCCTTGCACGCAGCCAACCCGGGTTCGATTCCCAGCATCCCATATGGTTCCCTGAGCACCACCAGGGGTGATTTCTGAGTAACCCCTGTGCATCACTTGGTGTGACCCAAAAAGCAAAAAAAAACCCCAAAAAACAAAAATCAAAGAGCTGGGGGATGGCCAAAAGGAAAAGCTCTGAGCGCTTCCCGGACACGCTCCCTTAGGAACTCCTTCCATAACAATAGGCCTTAGCTTTCTGCTCTCTACAAGGTTCACCTGTAATTTTTATTTTTTGTCTTGTTTTGGGGTCACACCCGGCAGTGCTCAGGGCTTACCCCTGGCTCTGTGCTCTGTGCTCAGGGATCATTCCTGGGCCAGGATGTTGGACAACACTGGGATGTCCCACAGGGACATCCTCCCACAGGGAGCTTCGGTTTACTGAGCTACTACCATGACAGTGCTCCTGAGGCACACCCAATTCCATCAAGCACCAATAATCCTATATTGCTTTCTCTTTCCTTTATGTAATTTGCATGGCTTAGCAATGGCCTTTTTGTGTAGACACAGGAAGACAGTTGATGCTATGCTTCTGTAACATGGGAGTTAATCGACTGAAATAACATTTACTCCTGGGCATCCACCATATTTACCTGACTTAAGCTTAATTGTCCTTACTTCCTAAGACCCCCAAAAGGAGGGTCCCAATGAAGGGACTGAATGAATCCAGGGCAAGCTATAAGTTACCCTGGCATCGAAAGGGGACAAGTATAAGTTACCCTGGCATCGAAAGTGCCACAAGTATAATAAGTTAAGAGTATGGTCATGGAACAAACTCTGTCATGACCCAAAAAGAGACCCAAACGGACTGAAAAGCCTGCTGGGGTTAGGCAAGACTAACCTGGCCTGAGGACTGTAGTCTGGGATATATAGCGAGATGTAACCAGGGAGAGCCACCCTTTAAGCTTAATACATCTCTTACTATGTTCATATACAATGACTAGAAATATTGTAAGTAAATTTACTACTCTTGGTTAAACGGATTACTAGATGAGGACAGGAGAAAGCAATACACCCTAGATGGAATCCCGCCCTTAGCGGATCTCCTAGTAATCTGGAGTGCTGACCTCTCAGATGAGATGTGTCCTTGAGTTATCTCCGAGAACTTCCCCTGAGGAGTGGCTTTACCTCTGTTGTTATGACAATGTTCAACCCCACCTATGCAGCGTACCCCAACCCTTCATGACTTCTATATAACTATGTTGTAAGGGGTAAGAGGGGACTAGACAAGGACTAAGAAGATAAGGACTAGACTAGAAAGAGGAGGACTATAAGAATGGGGCTGAGGGAACTATGATGACTGGGACTATGACCAAAAGAATGACTGCAATTGTGCTGTAAGGGGAGAGATCAAACTACGCTGGGGAGGAGAGAGATAAACTATCTACCGACCAGCCTGGGGCCCTGTTTCTGTTTCCCTGGTCCTTGTCTGTCTATCCCTTGCCGTGGGCCAGCCAGGGGAATGGCTCTCTGCCAAATAACACTTGAGTCCCTCATACCCACGCGCTTTCTTTTGGAAACTCGTACCAGGCTAATGCTTCCACAACAGCATTAGACAGAAGGGACTTTTCTACAAAAGAGTTATTTAGACAGAACTCAGATGGCAAGGCAACACATAGAACACTAGAACATGTCACTGTCCCGCTGTGATTTTTTCGAGCAGAGTAAAAGCAGAGGAGATGTGACTGAGAGAGCTGCTCACAGCAACGGTGAGGCCTCCACGCGAGAAGGCTTCGCACCTACGACACTCGTCTTGTGAACCTCCGGCTCAGTTCCAGAGAAAGAATCCGAAAGGTCATCAAAAAACTGTTCCATATCCTTCAATTCGCCTTCAGCCATCAGTTTGATTCTGAATGAAAGAGGTGAGAGATTTTAGGTAGGTCCTCAGAACATCCCCACATTTCATAGTCTGCGAGCATAATCTATTTTATTTTATCATAATTTTGGTTCGGAGCCCCACCCAGTGGTGCTCAAGGCTTACTCCTGCCTCTGCGCTCTGGGGTCATTTCTGTAGGGGACTGAACCCAGATCAGCTGCATGCAAGGCAAATGTCCTACCTGCTTACTATCTCTCAGCCCTTGCTAATCTGTTTTTGTTTTGGTTTGTCTTGTTTTTGTTTTGGGGCTACACCAGCTATGCGCAGGGGTTACTCCTGGCTCTACACTTAAGAATTACTCCTGGTGGTGCTCAGGAACCATACAGGATGCTGGGAATCGAACCCAGATCAGCCATCTGTAAGGCAAGTACCCTACCTGCTATACTATTGCTCTAGCCCACCTTGCTAATCTATGTTAAAGGCAACACAGTAGGGTGCTTGCTTACACGTGGCCAACCCAGGTTCAATCCCCAGCATTCCATCTGGTCCCCGAGCACCGCCAGTAGTGATTCCTGAGTGCAAAACCAGGAGTAACCCCTGAGCATCACCAGGAGTGGCCCAAAAGCAACAACAACAAAAAAGGGCAATTTAGTTATATAAAATGATAGCACATAAAACAAAGAATCCAAATTATTAAAATGTTTTGAAAAATATCATTGCTGATGTTTTCTTGTTTATAAAATGTTTCAGAGTAATACCTCAGCCAGTAAAATCAGAATTTTCCAAAACTAAAAAGAATGAGATGGATCCATACAGAATAATAAATTTTGTTTTGGAGGGGTTTACTTATTTGTTTCTTTGTTTACTTATTCATTTATTTTGGATCACACCCAGAGATGCTCATGGTCTACTCCTGGCTCTGTGCTCAGGAATCATTACTGGTGGTGCTCGAGGGTCCATATGGGATGCAGGGGACCAACCTAGGTCAGTCTTGTGCAAGGCAAACATCCTACCCACTGTTTCCAGCCCCTGTTCTCTTTATGCTTTTTCAAAAAATACGTTGACATCTTTTCGTGTGTGTGTGTGTGTGTGTGTACGTATAAGACAAGGAACTTTACCTGATCTGTACTGAATTTGCCAGCTGCGGACAAGATTCTTCAATAAGTTTGTATAGTTTCGACAATGTAATATCTGGGCCCTAGATAAAGGAGAGTAGGAGATTAAGGAATGTTTTTAAGAGCTGGAGATTAATAAACAACAAATACCAACGGATCTATTAGTTCTTTTGTTCTAATTTGCTTTTGGGTCACATCCAGCAGTGCTCAGTGCTTATTTCCAGCTCGGTGCTCAGGGATCACTCCTGGCGGTGCTCAGGGGACCATTTGCATGGTGGGGGCTGAGTTAGGGTCTTTAACCCCTGTTCTGTCTCTCTGGTCCCTCAACCCATCTTTTAACAGTTTAAACATAAAATCTCAAATGAGGAAAGGTTAAAAAAAGTCCTACCTAAAATGGTACACTTTACATTTGCAATTTTTTAATTGTTGAAACATAAAATCTCAAATGAAGAAGGGGCAAAAAAAGAACACAAACTACCTAAAATGATACAACACTTTACATTCACACAGTCGGTGGGATGGGGTGGAAGGGGAAGCCCAAAACATGCAGTCCAAGGTTCCACCAACCCTTCCTTCTTGGTTTGTAATCAAAGCCAAGATGATGCAGTCCTTCGTCAGGAAAATAAAGACAGTGATATCGCCCTTGTCCAGGGCCAAGATTAAACACAATCACTCAAAGTGTTCTGTAAATTGGAAACCACTCTACAAACACAGGCGTTGTCGTCTCATTTGGTACTCCCCAACGGGAAGGAAGGCTGGCAAAGCCTCCATAGCTGGACCAAGACCCCTCTGAGACAGAGAACATGCAAACCCAGCTACCAAAGAGAGTTATTACAATTCAGATGAGATTGAAAACTAAACCCTGGGGCCTGGAGTGATAGCACAGTGGTTCGGGTATTTGCCTTGCATGCGGCTGACCCAGGTTTGAATCCCAGCATCCGATATGGTCCCCTGAGCACCACCAGGAGTAATTCCTGAGTGCAGAGCCAGGAGTAACCCCTGTGCATTGCCGGGCATGATCCAAAAAGAAAAAAAAAATTAAAACTAAACCCTGAGGGACCAGAGCGTTAGTACAGCGGGTAGGGCGTTTGCCTTGCACGCGGCCAACCCGGGTTCGATCCCCGGCATCCCATATGGTCCCCCAAGCACTGCCAGGAGTAATTCCTGAGTGCATGAGCCAGGAGTAACTCCTGAGCATCGCTGGGTGTGACCCCCAAAAAAAATTAAACCCTGAATATTTTTTGGAGAGTGAATTGGCAGCATATACTCTGATTTTCGAAGTGGAAAACCTTGTGATTCCAGTTCTAGGGAAGGCATGCTATGCCCACATTGTCTGAAAGCTAAGAATTACATACAAATTCATTAACTAACAGTTCATTCAGGGAAACCTAAGCAACAGTATGGTCAGTAGGGTGCTGGCCTTGCATGCGGCCACACCAGGTTAGATCTCCAGCACCCAATGGTCCCCTGAACCCGGACAGAAGTAGTCATGAGCAGAGTCAGGGGTAAGTACCATCGGATGCAGGCCCTCCCCCCAAATTGTTTTGTTTAGGGGCCTCAGAGATAGTACAGTAGAGAGGCACTTGCTTTTCATGCCCTCTACCTGGGTTCAATCCCTGGCACCCCATATGGTTACCCAGGCAGAACATATAGTCTCTTAAACACCACCAGAAGTTGTCCCTGAGCACAGAGCCAGGATCCAAAAACAAATACATATCTATACACACACACTTAATAAAACAGTTCATTTATAACACAATAGACCACAAATCTGTTTTAACATTAAGTTATGAGAGAGACAGTAGAGAGGTGTAGGTACTTGCTTGCCTCACATCCCCCCACGACTATCGGAATCCCCAGTAAACACATGTGGCTCTTTGAGCACTGTCAGGGAGCACTCCTAAGCACAGAGCAAGGAATAGCCCTTGAGCACCACAAGATATAGCTCCAAGGGGAAGGAGCAATAGCATAGTGGGTACGGCGTTTGCCTTGCACGCGGCTGACCCGGGTTCGATTCCCAGCATCCCATATGGTCCCCTGAGCACTGCCAGGGGTAATTCCTGAGTGCAGAACCAGGAGTAACCCCTGTGCATCATCACATGTGACCCAAAAAGAAAAAAATATATATATAGCTCCAATGCCTCCCACCACCCTGGGAAAAAGTATGTATCAAACCATTTCTAGTCTTCTATGGAATATAACGCAGCTGATAAAAGAGTTAAATAGGAGACTGAAGCATTAGCTCCAAAGGTTAGAGTGCATGCTCTGCATGCCAGAGGTCCAGGCTCCACCGTGAGCACTGCAGAGACCCCCAAGCACAGGGCAAGAATTAGCATTGAGCACTGGCAGGCACCCCCAACGTCCAGTCCCCCCTCCTCTGATGAACACTTACTGAATTTTATCTCATGAGTTTCCGCCCCTGCCCGTTTTTTTTTTTTTTAAAGTTTTTGGGTCACACCTGGCGGTGCCTGGAGATTATGTAGGGCTGGGGGGGAGGGGGCAGGGGAGGCCTGGGTAACCGAACTCAAGCCTTGTGCAGGCAGAGCAGGAGCTCCAGTCTTTTGCGCTATCTCTTCTGCCTTTCAATTCCCCTTTTCATTCCCATTCTACGCAAGCGCACACCAAAACTGTTTCTGGAACTTGGCCTGAGTCTCAAAGCTACTCAGTGGTGCAGCGAGAACCAGTCTGCAAAAGGAAATCAAACATGCAATGCGCTGAGCGGTGCTCAGTGTTCTCTGCTGATGTTGTGTCATCGCTACTACTTTGCCCGGACCTCGGCTAGGGTTCAAACATTGGTCAGTCGGTCCAAGGCTCCCACACTCAGGACCACACGCCGCCTCGATTCTACCTACAGAAGACGGAGATGCTGCGTAAACAGCTTCCTCCACCCACCCAGCTAACAAGTGCAGGGACCAGCTGGGAGCCTGGAGAAAGAAAACGGAATGCGTGCAAAGCGCCCCGCCCACCAGAAGCCCGAAGCGCCGGCCGGCGGGGTCTCTAGTTCGCAGGCACCCTCCGATGAACCCCGGGGTGCCCGGCAGAGCAGGAGCGCGGCTACGGCTCGCTCGAACGCGGGGAGCCGCGGGGGCCCCTCACCTGCAGCAGCGGCAGGAGCAGCTGGTTGAGCCGCCGGCGTTCCACGAGGCCGACAGCCCCCTCCCCGGTGCGGCCCATCTCGTTCAGCAGCACCAACACCGCGATCTTGTAGGGCGTCACCCAGTCCTTGATGCCGAACACGTTGGCGTGGACCACCCCATTGGTCATCATGGGGTTGAAGTATAAGCTCTCGTGGACGCTGGCCATGGCGTCCCCGGGCTAAATTCAGACGCCGCGCGGCACCCGCGGCCAGACTCCCGGCCGGGCACCCGAGAGCGGGCCCGCGCCTCCGCCCGCTGCAGCTGTATCCCAGGAAACGGACGAGCGCGGAGGGCGGCATGCCGACAGCCAATCAGGAAGGCCATGCCAGAGCACGTGGGAGAACCATACCCAATAAGAATTCCAGAAATCCAGCGAGGGGTGGGGCAAGCACCGTGCATTAAAAGATTGGGTCCCTACGGAAACTCCTACGAGAAGAAAGCAGGTTCCGTGGGCGAGCGGTGGACCCAGAGGAAAGGAATGGACTCGAGGGCCTGCACTGAAGACACAGGGAGACTGAAAATTTCTTCAGTTCATCTGTAAACAATTAAAATTGGGTTTCAAAATGATTATGTCTAAGAGCGATAGGATTACAGCTTTAGTTTTTATGTTTTATTGACTATATATATTTTTTGGTTTGTTTTTGGTTTTTTGGGCCACACCTGGAGATGCTCAGGGGAGCAGATGGGATGGTGCGGATGGAACCTGGGTCGGCGTCGTGCAAGGCAAGCGCCTTACCCGCTGCACTATCTCCCTGGCCCTGCCTATATTAATGTTTAAACTCGAAGTTTGGAAGTTCCATTTATGTCTTCTTAAAAAAAATGTGAATAAACATCTTTTCACTCAATATCCTATAAATGCCACTTGTAGACATCCAGACTAAGTTGCAATGATCATGTACTCTGACTTGAAGTAGACAATATCTCTGTGGGTGAATCTGCTGCCCATTTGATAAATGACAAAATACATGGTCTTGGCGTTCCTGGCCTCCAGCATCACTCCCCAGATGTTGCTGTAGGAATGGTCAAGTGTGAGAAACCCAAGAAGATGGTGCTACCCTGCACTGCTAACTCAGGACACCCCTCCGGCTGCCCCTGCCTCTCACGCTCCAGCATGACAGCCACCAAGGTCAAAAAAGAAAAATGGCTAAGACATCAGACAGATAAGTCAGCAGGCAGGGTGCTTGGTTCAGAAGGGGAGGTCTGGGCTCAATCCCCAGCACCACAGGGGCATGCATTACCACCAGAAGAAAGAAGGAAGATCAAAATCTTGTCAAAGTTTTAACTAATATCACCTTAAGCCTGCAGGATACTTTGGAGAGACAGTTGGACAAAACTACCTTCAAGGAGGATGAAGAAAACCTGCTGGGAAAAGCAAAGTCCAACACAGGTTAAGGTCAAGTTGGAAAAGTAGAAGCCTGGCCAGGACAGATGATTCTTCCAAAAGCTGTTATTTTAGATCTTTTATTTCTGTCAAACTTTAAAAATATACCAATCCTTAGACGATGATTTTCAATCAGATTCCCTCTTCCACTCCTCTGCAGCTCTCCCAGGACACTGAATTCTCAATCCAAGTTGGTGAGAACCAGCCTGGGAATCCAGTACTAATAAGTTTTGGCCTTGAAGATTTATTCGTAGTTGTGATTTGCATCAATACTAGCCTATGGAGGCTGGGAACACCTACTTTACAACGTTGGTCATGCATACACTGTGCCTCTCCCAGTATTTTGTTGTTTTGTTGTCACTATTTTGTTTCATAATTTATTACAGTCGGCCCTTCAAAGCAATAATATCTGTTCCCACATAACCTACCTATCTTTTAACTAATAAATTCACGCTGCAAATAAATGTACTGAAGTAAATTGTACAAACTCATTTTTAAATGGTCTTTCTAAAGTGATTTATCAAAATTTCATATAATTAGAGATCAAGTTATCCAAAAAGATGCCAAGGTGAAGTTACCACAAAGAAGTTAGAGCTGAGGACGATTTCTCTCTCTATTCCCCTCTTTCTGAGGGCAAAGTGTAAATCTTACCCGGGTACTCAAATTCTTCATGATTTTATTGAGGAATAAAGAAATGACTATAATGGTAACAGAAAGATATTTTAAAAGAAGAACTTTTACAGAAGGAAGTGATGTGACTTCACAATACTCATTGTTCAGACTACTATCTCCAGGGCTAAATTGGTGGCCTGAGAAAGAAATTGTTGACTTTATAAATTATATTATAATTTTTATGCATGCATAATAATGTAATAAATTAAATAAATGTGAAACTGGTAGAGATTAGGCCAATTGTCCAAGGCCATAGAGCTTGCAAATAGCAGAGCTATCTCATATAAATGATATATGAATATATACTATATATAGTATATATGGGCTAGAGCGATAGCACAGCGGGTAGGGCCTTGCACGTGGCCGACCCGAGTTTGATTCCTCCGTCCCTCCTGGAGAGCCTGGCAAGCTTCCCGTGGAGTATTCGGTATGCCAAAAACTGTAACAAGTCTCACAATGGAGATGTTACTGGTGCCCACTCGAGCAAATCAATGAAAAATGGGTGCTATTTTGTTTCATGATAATGAATAAAAACGTGGCTTTAGTTCACAAAAACAGAAAAGGAAACACACATTTAGACTGATTTATAGCCAGAAGTCATTGCTAGCTTGAATGCAAGACCACAATTCCACACCTTGAGAATGCTGTAGATTTTAGACATACAGCTGCAGACTTACAACTCCATGTTTGATTGAACAAAATTATGCAACTCTTTTCTTAAAAAAGGGAGACATTGACTTTTTTTTGAGTGAAATTTAAGATGTATGACGTCTTTCTGGGGAATAGAGACATAACTCAAGTGGCAGGACACACGTGCAAGGTCTTGGATTTGATGCCCCAGGTCCCCACACCATTCCTCCACCGAAAACCACAGATACGACCCTGGACAGATGGGATGAAGAAATGAAGTGGTCACCAAAGTTCAGAAGCTGAGGCTATTGGATGGAGCTAGAATTGCAGGAAATATCTAGCCACTCAGAAGTTCCAGGGCAGTCTCAGTGGCTACAACACCTGCCTTGCAAGTGTGAGGCTGCAGGCTCAATTATTAGGGCCACTCACATGTGCTATGCATGATCCCAGAAGCTCTGAGTGTATGATATCTGGTGCAATGGAGCCAGGCATGCATGAGCACTACAATTATAGAGTGAGGCCGCTGGTGAGCACCAAAACAAGGCGTGTGTCACTGCAGCAAAGCAAAGGGAAGCAGGAGAAGACACAGATTCTTGGAGAATGCTGAGAAAGGGAAAAGGCAAGATATACTATGGCACCTTCCTTTCTACTTCCTTCCACTCCCTCCCGTTCATTTATCCAGTCAGCTGACTCAGAAACTGGGAAAAGAAGCCTGCAAACTTTACTAATAACTCCACAACGTTTCATCACCTCAAAAATAAACCACATATCCACTGGCAATCACTCCCCACTCTCCTCCCCCCACCAATCCCTGGTAACTACTAACCTACTAACCATTGTCTTGATAGATTTGTGTATTCTGGACGTTTCTTATCAAAGAAAATCTATGGGTTCTTTGCATTCAGTTAGTGTATTGTTTCTGAAGTTCTTCCCATCCTTTTCTTTCCATCACTGAGCGTTTCATCTTAGGGATAGAACACATTCTGTTTATCTGTTAATGGACTTTTGAGGTGCCTCTCCCTTTCAGCTATTGTGAGTCATAGCGCTGGCAACACTTTGGTGGAAGTAGGCCACACGCATCAGTACTAAGGGCCTACTCCCATCTCAGTGCTCAGGAATGCAATGTCACAGTCATGAAAGAAGAGAACAATTATCAAAGAGACTAAAGTTTGGAGTAATGATGTTATTTTCATGTGCAGTTGAGTATCCTGCATGCAAACACGTGCTCTAGAGGCTGGAGCAATAGTCCAGTAGGCTAGGCAATTGCCTTGTACACAGCCAACCCAGGTTCCAACCCTAGAATCCCATAGAGTTCCCCGAGCCCCACCAGGAGTGATTGACTCCTGAGCACAGAGCCAGGAATAAGCCCTGAGTACTGCTGGATGTGACACAAAACAAACAAAAATATGTGCCCCAGTCCTTAAGCTATTTCCTTGGCTCTTTGAACTCTGTGCTGCCCTTGGTGGGGATTGAACCTGGGTCTCGTGCATGAAAGACTTGTATTTTAACAGAGCCACATCCATTGCCCAGGATACACGTGTATATTTTCAGGTTTTTTTTTATATACTTAGGAATGGATTTAGGGATCAGATGATAATTCTATGTTGAGCTTTTTGTGTGTCTTTTTTTTTTTTTTTAGCTTTTTCAGTTACACCTGACAATGCTCAGGGGTTACTGCTGACTATAATTCGGGAAGTACACCTGGCGGTGCTTGGAGGACTCTATGGGATACCAGTGATTGAACCAGTGTTGGCCACGTGCAAGGCAAATGCCCTCCCCGCTGTATTGTCGCTCTGGCCCCTATATTGAGCAGTTTTTTTTTGTTGTTGTTTGTTTGTTTTGCTTTTTTTGGGTCATACCCGGAGGATGCTCAGGGGTTACTCCTGGCTCATGCACTCAGGAATTTCTCCTGGCGGTGCTCGGGGTACCATATGGGATGCTGGGAATCGAACCTGTGTCGGCCATGTTGGCTGCGTGCAAGGCAAACGCCCTACCTGCTGTGCTATCACTTCAGCCCCTATATTGAGCGTTTTGAGGAGCTAGCTGCCAGACTCTTTTTCCACAGTGGCTGCCCCATTTGACTTTCCCCATCAACACTGGGGGGGGGGGGGGCAAGCTCTTCCTTTTTTCTTTCTTTCTTTTTTTTGCTTTTTGGGTCACACCCGGTGATGCACAGGAGTTACTCCTGGTTCATGCACTCAGGAAATACTCCTGGAGGTGCTCAGGGGACCACATGGGAGGCTGGGAATCGAACCTAGGTCGGCCGCATGCAAGGCAAACGCCCTACCCACTGTGCTATAGCTCTAGCCCAAGCTCTTCCTTTGAAAGAGAATCAGAGGGGCTGGAGAGATAGCACAGCGAATAGGGCATCTGCCTTGCACGTGGCAGACCCGGGTTCGATTCCCAGCATCCCATATGGTCCCCTGAGCACCACCAGGAGTAACTCCTGAGTGCAGAGCCAGAAGTAACCCCTGTGCATCGCCGGGTGTGACCCCCAAAAAAGCAAAAAATAAAAACAAATAAAGAGAATCAGAAACCCTCTTACTGATCAAGAATCATAATCAGCA